TAAGTGTGTACAGGTATTTTGAGGATATGTAGAACAGTGCTAAAGCCACTTGAAGCAGCTCATGAGTCATATGCATAGGTGTATCATGGCAACTTTTTCTCCCGGAGCACTTTCTTGCTTCTCCCTTGTGTCAAGATGATAGATATTGACCTCCCCCAGTCCTTTAAAAGTCTGGGAGATCAGACGAGCCCCAATTCACAGTGATAAAAGGCCCTCCSCAGGGGGATGGTTCTTTGCTTTTCTGGGAGAGTCTAAAAAAAYTGTTAGAGGATAGTGGTATTTATTTGTCAATTTAAAAAGAATTTAAGTRATAATTCTGTAATTATTTTCCCGATTTTGGTCTAGATGATTTTAGTAATGTTTGAAAGGAATCAGGCCAAACGTACATGCATTGCAGTTGGGCAGATAAAATGGAGATTATTTTCATATGAGCTTCTAAAGTGTTTTTATTTCTGTTTCACTAGTAAGGTGTAATTCTGCTGACAGAACAAAGCTRTTAAGGTATCTTACTACTGGAGTACCTAGCTGTGTGTTTGTGTTGCTTATCATGTTATGATGACAGAGAYGAGAAAAGCTTGTGCTGGCTGAAGGATGCTTTGGTGTCTGTTGTGTAAGCCGCAGAGCAGTTTGGATCTTGTGGTGTCTTTTTTTGTTGTTAACTGTGTGGGGTTTAACATTTAAGGCTCCAGGTGCGATACCTGTTTTTTTTAGCTTGCATGGGCTGCATGAGGATTTGTGCTGGAAACAGTGTTGATAACACATGGATATTTTAATTACTGCTGAGCAGTTTCAAGGCTTTTTCTGCCTCTCACCCCACCCCACCAGCGAAGGGGTGGGGGATGCACAAGAAATTGGGAGGGGACACAGCTGGCACAGCTGACCCCAACACAGCCAAGGGACATCTCAGCCTGTGATGAGGTTATGCCCAGGAAAATAGAAGGTATGGGGCAGATGTTTGTCAGGGCTGCTGTTTCTCAGGGACTCACTGGCATCAGWTGGCTGGTGGTCAGCAACTGTTCTTTTTGTATCACTTGCTTTTCTTGCTTGCTCTTTTTCCCTATTTCTGCCTTTTTTTTCCTCTAAATTGTCATTGTGTCAATCCATATGTTTTCAAACTAACACAGTSGGGCTGACAGACCACATGTCCTTTATGCAAAGACTACAAAACTTCCATTTTGCATGGATTTATTTTTCTTGAAGTTTTGGAGAGATGAATCGGAAGTTACTACACTAAAGTCTTAGGTAAGGCAGCTGTTGAGTGGTTTCTTTTCTTGCAAAATTGTGCCTTTTCAAGGCTTTGGGACCTCAATGCTGTTGTCTTAAAATCCTTTTTCTCCAAGGCCAGCAGAGGTGACAATCCTGAAGTATCTTTCAACTGTGCATAGTGCAGGATGCTGAGTGTGAGTTCAGGTTCTCAAACAATAAATGCTGTCAYCTTTCACTTTCATCCACCATTCACAGTTTGAAACAGTGTCCTTAATCTGACAATTTTGTTCCAACATAGTACAACTCAGGTAGGACTCAATATTTAATAAAAAGACCTTTCAGTTCAAAGGACTTTGCATTTTGTCAAGTTTAGGCAGATAATGAGTGAACAGTAAACACAGGGGCATCTCTT